CTGCCTGTACATTAGCTCCCAGGAACCAGCTAGGGGTGAGGGGGGGGCAGGGGACACACCCAGGAGAGCTCCCTTGGGTGGTGTGGTGCAAGTCCTAGTGCCCCCCAGTGCTCTTGGTGGGGCTAAGCTCCACCAACTCCCACCCAGGGCAGCTTGTACTGTGCTCCTGCTCACACCTGCCCCATGCCTCCCGAAGACACTGCTCCGGCTCTGGCCCAGCCAGTGCACACAGCTTCCCAGTGCGGCTGTCTTCCACCCACTTGGCTTCCCACAGGTGGCTGCACATCAAGCCAATCAAGACAGCACAGACAGCCCTGATGTGCTGTAACTGCAGCATATCGAAGCAGGCATCCTGCACATCTACAGGCACCCTTACTGAATAGTAGTCCAATACGGAAAAATTAGCCAACACAGAAAAATAGTAATGTTGTCTGAAAAAGAAAATTGTTTTCTGCTAGTGGGATCCGCATCTGTGGTGAAAAAGCATATATATGTACATATTTCATGCTGCTCAAAGATTGATGGGTGTGTATATATACTGAAAAATACCCCATCACTTTTCCCTATCTTAATGTTAAATTCTGGAAGAATTCTTAATCCGCTTAAGGTTTATACTTTAATACTTCAAGGCTTATGAACATTTTTGGGCTGATTAAATGGTGCTGATTTGTTCCAAACACTATCATCCTGGTAAATTTTTAATACAAAGATACTATTTCAACTTAGTAAATGTAATTAAAGGGGAAAATCTGCCTTTTGATCTTGACAGTATTTTGAAAGCTACTTATAAGAAGTTCTATATCAAATCTTTATTATTACTATTATCAATACAGGAAAAACAAGCATTCTTTTCTCAAGTCAAATTATAAATGAGAATTAACAAGATACATAATAATGATGTCAGTTTTTTATTCTGTTCCTTATAGTCTCTTTTTTCTTCCTTGAAATGGAGGATTTCAAGTAGATAAAACCAGGACTGTATGGTGCTCATCTACTTCCAACTAGACACATAACCTAAATGGATTCATGATTCACTGTGGCTCTGTACACACATTTAAATAACCTGGGAGAATTCTCCTGGGTTTGTTCTCCTATGTACCAGGGAGACAGTCTCCTGTAGCCGGTGAAGAGAGCACCTGACCTGAAGAGCATGAATTCAGGGGATACAAGTCTGGGCTCCTGAGGCAGAGAGACCAGTACAGCCCTAAACTCTGTGAGGAGGAAAGTTTCTGCCAGCTCATGCAGGTAAGGAATGGAAGCTGTGGGCCAGGTCAGGTATGCCAGGGTTCAGAGGGGCGCAATGAGTGGGGAAGAGGCCTCTGCAGTGGCATGGTGACCCAGAGGGAGTTTTGAATGTTTTATTTAAAGCAGCTCGCTTGCATTGTTTGTTTCTGTTTTACTGGACAACTGACTTGTAGCTGTTGGGATGGTTAGAAGGCCAAGCAGGGGGACCTGAAAGGCATTCCAGGTTTAGGTCTACTAGGGGCATGACGGAGAGTGAGAGAGAGATGTATGCTGTACCCAAGAGGGCCAGAGCCAGGAGCTGGCAACATGGGTGGGCTGCAACTGAGAGCTGGAGCCAAGAGAGTGTGTCATGGGCAGCTGTGGCTGACAAGAGGTCAAGACTGAGAGGCCAGGCCAAAGCAAGTAGGCCTATGGGGGAGCTGGAGGTGATAATTAGAGCCCATAAGGTTTAATTAAAGCCACTAGGGTCATAAGCTGTAACCACGAAGTTTGAGTAGTACCAGGAGGGCACAAGAAGTTCCAAGTAAGCACGTGAGCCACCCCCAGGAAACAGATGAGGTTCTGTTAGCTGATGGAGGGCCCAGAGACCGGAGTTTGGTTGAGATGGTTAGGGACCAGGGAGATTTGGTTAGGCAGCCTCCTCATCAATATAGAAAGAACACTAAGGCATATCAAGAACATTTAAAAGGGGGTATATGGAGGACCTGGAACATGGACAGGATTAGCGTGGCCCCTAGTGGGTGCCATGGCTGCCCTCAGGGCCCATCCTTTCACATCTTGGTAGAAAAACTTACCTGGAGACTCCTGAACAGACAGTTAAGTGCTGAGCCCCTGAAGAACAGAGAACTTGCAGTGCTGATGCTGTGCAACCAGCTCCCTCAGTCTTCCACCCACTTGGCTGACCCAAACTGCAGAGCCCACCCCTGACCTGGGGGACAGATATTCAGAAAGCCTGAGCCCGAATTGATTCAATCTTTGCAGGTTAGTCTAAGCTGGATAGGCAAAATCCATTTTGTAACCAGACAGACATCCCAGAAATGCAGGTACATACCTGCAGTGGCTCGGGCTAGAAGCTGGAGGGCTCCCTTCCCTCGCACAGTACTGAGCCGAGGAGGGGCATGACCATCTTCCAGCAGGACACGCTGATTAGCCCAGCAGGGAATTGATAACAGTGTTTATCACCCAACTGAGAAAACCAGCTCCCTCTGCCTGGTGACAAACGGGAGCAGTGCACAGGGCTGCCCTGATTGGCTGACCCAAACTGCAGAGTAAGCCTGTGTGTCTCCCTGTAGCACAACATTGGATTCGGGGCAGGAGTTGCTCTGCTCCCTGCTTGGTTGAAGCAGTGGAGTTCAGTCTGAATGAAACACTGTCTCTGGAAGTAAGAAGTGGGGAGCAAAGCACCTTGGGATGCTGGAGGATTCTGCTGTGGCTTCTCTCAGAAAGGTAACTTGTACAGACCTTTGTCTTCCAAGAGTGATTTACCACTGGTTGTTCTGTGGTTATTTTTTTTCTTAGAGCAACCATTTTTACTCTGGGAGAAAAATGTTGAACATCTGTACATTCATGGTTCTCCTGAGAGCAGCGATTTTTCCCAGGAGAAACTGAATGTCTGTAAATGGCCTTTGAGTGGAATTATACACGTTGTGTTCTAAAACCATAACTTCCATTGAAAGCACCTTAGTTTCTCTGTCTCTTTCCTTTTACCAGAATCCTATTTCAAGGAGTAAGTGCTCCCATTCACTGTCCCAATTGGGAAGTTTGTTCCTGACCAAGCATCTAACATGTTGGGAGTGCAATGTGTTATATAAATCTGTGTACAAATATTTCTCATAATGAGCTAGCTTAAATACTGAAAACAGTCTAGACAATCCACTGAATAAATTAGATAAATACTTAGGTGATTAGCCTATGCTAAACATCGTGCTGCTACAGATAGCCTGGGTATTAGTAGCAGTTATCTAGTTTAAAGGTACCTCAAGTATGTCTACACTGCATTACAGTCAGCAGTTGTATTACAGTAACTATAATTGCTTTGATTGCTTATATTGTTGTTTTTTTTCTTTTTGTATAATGAAATATTTAACCATTAAGATAAAGTTAGTCTTGTTATGATTTACTTTTTATAATAATTTGATCAGTCATTATTAGTGTTCTGGAATTAACCACCAATTTTAAATTTCTTATTGCTTAGCATAAATATATTGGACATATTGGTCTCATGATTTTAGACATATTTGACCTACTGATCTCATGATTTGAGAACTTACATTTAGTATAAGGAAAATGCTTATGCAAGATTTGTGGTATGTCTGGCATATGTGGAAAGAGGTCACATACATACCTCACTCACTTTTTTGTTACAACGTGAAGGAAGACGGTCCTCTTGCAGCAGGTAAAAATATCCTTCTGTGGTTTAACAGTTAAAGGCTGCAACAACGTCAAGTCAGCAGTTCAGGATTACCAAATACTAGATCATGTTTCACCCTGATGCCTGAAGACTGCAAGCAATGACCCCCCTGAACACTGCAGACCACAAAGCAGAAGATCATGTCCTACCAATCCCAGCCTGCCAACAAGACAAGGAGAATGACCTCTGCATCTGACTCAGTGGAATCCATAGGCTTGTGTGGACACCTATTACTATAAAGAATGAACACAAAGACAAGGTTTGGGGTTTTTTCCAACTGCAAGAAGGAGTTTTGGGCGCATCCAACCAGACCTGACTCCATCACTCATGGTCAGTCTGGCCTGCCACCAGACTGACCTGCTTAGAACTTGGTAACACTCTACAGTTAGACAGTCCTGC